TTAGTTTTTCCAGCCTCAGTCACGGGATTGAATATATTGTCCTAAATCAGACGCAACGTATCTGATATAATACCCACCTATGTCACTGCTTCTATTAGCCACATGCCATTAAAATGTACAATTTCGTGATTCTGACAACGGCTGTTGGTGCATTAGTTGTAAGATAACAAAGTCACAGTAGAAAACGTAACCGCAGTTTATTTATTAAAATGACTCATAGACTTTACACAGGTATTGTACTTTCATTTTGTCCATGTTCTATTTGCCCTTCTTCATTTTTGAGCACTGGAGGCAATCGCTTTGGCATGGAGTCTACCAAGTTGACTGCCAAATGGAATTTACAAGTTTCCTCTAATACACCGCACACCCTCACCACTGACGACCAATATCGAGGAAGCTAACTTATCCCTGTGTCTGATACGGGGAAAATTTTTCCATTAAATTAAAATCCCAGCTGCTGCGTGATAACAGAACGAATCTGACATTGAACTTGACCCCTCCAGAGACTGTATAAACGTGAAAAAATAATATTTAATTAAGTCTAACGGGCTTTTACTGCAAACATCAAGCGAGAAGATATACCAACCTTCATCTATGAAAAATTTGACTTCCGAAAATGCATTTCAAGATTAGCAGTTACGGAAAACCTCCCTTATCAGTGCAAAACATTTTGCGATATCCACTGCCAAATGGATGTGATGCGATTTGAATTTGTTGGTAAAACCAATACGTGCTCTGCTTTGTTGGGTTTTCCACAACGGCTTTATATCACGTGGCTTCAGCTGCACGTTAAACTGAAACACCATTTTACAAACGAAAACGTAAAGAAAAAACGGCTAATCAGCCCGGGATATCCGTTAGAATGGTTTTGTGCAACTCTTCTCCCCTGCTATCAAACACCATCATCGTCTTTCATTGATTTGATCGGTTTTCTCCCTCTCGGCTTATGTCTTGATGGAGAAATTTCGTTGAATATGTTATAAATTGGACTTATGTTCACATCAACGCACTTCCACAAGACACCAATTAAGTCATCGGGTTTGTGCCTCTCGAATAAGTTGCATCTAGGCTTCAATTATATGCAAAAAACTTTTGAAAGTTTCCTCCGGTGACACTACAGGACGCTTATCCAACGAGCCGCACACCTCAAGGTCAATTTTCGAAGATCAACTTATGTTTCTTGGACTATGTTTATATATATGTATGTATATATACATACATATATATATATATATCACACTTGTCTGAGGACAGACTGTGTGCCAAAAAAACCATGGTACAATAATCTTTATAAAAAGAAAAATGTTCCATGATTGGCTTGTGGGCTGAGTACTGCCAGGTTGCCCAGGCCAAGGCAGGTGAATTTTCTTGAGGAATCCACAACCAGAGCCTTCGGCTAGCCAAAGCCTGACCCGCAAGGCAGCGGAGCGGTGTGCGAAAACCGCAGTCCATTGGGAGCCGGTGTCCAGTTCATCGGATCATACGCCCTTCGGACGGGGTCAGACGTCCAAGGTGCCCTATACACTTCAATGCCCAATCGAGCCGGTGACCACTGCCACAACCGAAAAGGTGTGGGTGTGGTTCGTACGTCTCCTCATGGTTGGTTTGGAATCAGGGTTTTTGGCCAACTCCCCTAGGTGAACTGCCAGTGGTCCACCAACCCGGCGATAGCCCCGGATATCGGCTTTTTGTCCTCTCACTTTGGTGGGAAAACACCTCCGCCGCAGTGAGTAGGGCTTCCTCAGCAGAGGCTATTTGAGACGCTTGGTCGTATGGGGGCATTTCGTGAGGTGCAAGGGCAGGGTGACCAGCCGCAACCCTAGACACCCACCCCCAACCATACTGAGGCCTTGGGAGGCGGACTATGTTTTTAGTTCTCCCAGTATTGTAGATAATGCGTGAGTAGTTTGTAGCCAAATAATTTATATATATTTATTCAAGCTGGAAAGAATATTTTTATTAATTTGCTTATTAACTGTGCACTGAATGAAATGAGATTAGAAAGTTAGAATACGTAAGCTCAACTTAATGAAACAGGAATCATCTATTAAAAAGAATGAACTCCTATGCATCTTTGCCTAAAAAATATTTTCCAAATCTGAGCTGTAACTTTCGAACTACTACAAATTTATCGTGACAGTTCAGGTCGCGCAAATTCAAAGAACTAAGAACATAGACGTTGGAAATAAAGTCAGGAATAACACACACTTTACTCATAGCCATCTATATATAAGTATGATACTGCAAGCTCAAGTGGATTTCCGAAATGAGGGCGATGTTGCACGAGTTTGGTTAACAGATATATATATATATATATATATATATATACATATATATATATACAAATAGCAACTGATCAGTATTCTAGATTTGGCTCACCCGGATTTTTGTGCCAAGCTTCCACGAACGAATCAACTTGCACTGGTTGTGACACATTCACGATCAGTTCGCCAAGGTAGCCGGAATAAAGGGTATCCTGCAGAGACTGAGAATAAAATAGCACCAGTGAAACATGAGGCACAAACTTCGTCCGAATACGGGTCCCAGTTGCGGGGATCATACAACTGATTGGCCAACCAAGACAGGGCAGATCGTTCGTGAGCAATCAGTTCATCCTCTTCTGAGGAATGAGGGTCTGAGAACAGAAAGAGATAGACGAACAAATGGGATATGTGATTGAAGTGCAGTAGTACTCTTCTTCCGATAGAACAAATCATTGGCTGCATTGAGTCATTATTATTATTAATTCAGTACGCAACCAACTGCACAGAACTGGCAAACAGGCAACAACATACGAAGAAAAAGTTCGGAGAATGTGTTCACAGGTTGTGTGGGGCATGTCACTTCCTGGTTTACCTGACCGGGGCAAGGGGATAACCTCGGGGTCCCCACTTGAAGCCTCTGACTAGAAAGCCAGACCTGTAAGACAACAGGACGGAGCTCAGAGTCCGCAGTCCATTGCGGACCGGTGTCCATTTCAGCGGATCACACGCCCTTTGGATGAGGTCAAACGTCCAAGGTACCCAATACACCTCAATGCCCAATCGAGTCGGTCATTACTGCTACAAACAAGAACATATGTGATTCGTTTACCTCATTTTGATTGATTTGGGATCAGGGTTTTTAGTCAACTCACCTAGGTGAACTGCCAGTGGTTCACCAACCCGGTTATAGCCTCGGGGCGCTGGGTTTTCACCCTCTCACT